AATGATCGACTCTTTTAAATGAAACCAGAGAGCGTTGACAGAGAGGAGAAGGTAGAAATGGCTCCTTTAATTCCACAGCTGATGCTGCTAAAATAACAGATTTTCTTTTCTGGATCTCTGACAGCAGGACTTCAATCTCCGAACTCTTAAAGTTCTTCTTTTTACTTTGCAATGTCATTTATGAATGGACACTTCCTGGTTTCTGGGGCAGGAACGTATAGCCTTATGTGGTGTTTTGGGGTGGTAGATTATGCTAATCTCCTCTCGTCGTGCACGAGCAGCTGATACACATGCATCAGTTTACGCAGTTCATTTACACACTTTTCCTGAAGATAGAAGTGTTTGTTAAATGTGACGTAGCATGTTCGACCCTTCGTATGAATAAAAGTAAGAAAAATTTAGGATAAGTATACGAAAACGTTCTTGCATGAAGCCCAATGATCCCAAACACAAAAGCTGATCTACAACAGTACGACAAAAAAACAAAAAGAAGGAGCTGTGACTAGTCTAGACCTCAACCTGACAGAAACGCTGTGACGGAACCGTAAACGAGTTGTAGATTCTGCAAACTTAATGAACTGAAGTAGCATTACCACAACCACGTGAGAAATTACTACAGTCCTAGAGAAAACAACCACTGTTAAAGGAGGTTCTACAAGCTGCTGGATCATGAGGTGTACAAAGTTTTTCTTTTTTGCTTTATTTTTATTTAAATATTGACTAGATGGGATTTGTTGTGTTTTTGTATGTTTGAGATTAAAACTGAAAACATTTATAGAACCTAAAAAAACAGATTTGTGTCCTATGTAGAAAAGTGTAGCATGTCTATCTAATAAGTGTGGTCACTTGAGGTGTGTGGTCACTCACTGACACCAGGGTAAACACTGTGTTGATGACACCGACTCCTATCGTTGCGTAGACTGGCTGACTGACACCAGCCTGTGAGAAGATGGCTGTCGAGTAATAAAAGATCTTGGAAACGAAGCACAAAAAAAAAATCACAGTTAGATTCCAAACAACACAAGTTTGTGCTCAGTTAGGCATTGAGGTGTTTTTGCAGAATAGAATGCTCTATGATTTTCCATTTATAGGAACAATAGAAAAATTAAATTTGACGTGAAATAAATCAAAAGATACTCACCGCATTAATGCCAGAAAATTGTTGGGAGAGATGCATCATGAGGGCAACGAACAGCTGCCGTCTATACACAGAGGACAAGATCTTGGAGAGTACAAGAGAGCAAAGATTTGACAAGTTTTTAAAGCACCTGTAGTTTTTTTCTATTTAACCTAAAAATACAATTTCCTGTGTTTTTTGTATAGACTGTACATTTTGAAGTAAAGTACTCCAAACAGTTAGTTTATTTTTCCTCTGGAAAGTTACAGGAAAATATGTTTATCTGTGTATTTTGCAGAGGAACTCTTAAGAATGACTGAATAATTCAACATTAAAATAACCTTATAATTAAAATTCCTGTATTTTTGTGGGAACTGTATATTTGAAGTTAATTATTGGAAATTATTTTTCTCGTAGTTTTTCAGAAAAAAAATTATTTTGTGGACTGTACAGCTAAAATAAATGATCAAAATGGGCATTTTTTTTTCTTTCTTTTAGAAAACATGAATTTATGTCCTCTGGTAAATTTTGAACCTATTCATTTTAGGTTGTTTATTTCAGACATACAGTACACAAAATGTAACATTTTTGGACCCGGTATGCATTTTAATACAGGGTTTATGTTTTGAACCCCCACCCCTCTCCCCTCCTTAGCTGACTGCACTATTTTGCAGAGTAGTTTTTTTGAGCGTATGTTTGTGTGTTTTCTGTATAAAACACAGGATCAAAGCTATTTTTTTTAAACTCACCCTTCCTATGTGTGTGAATTCTAAATCGCAAAGGTGGCGCACTAAGTTGCGAAAGACCCCGGACATTCGTTCCCCCATGTTTGTCATGTGTGTGTGTTTCTCCGGACGGATGTTCTAAACTGCAAATTTCATTCTACATTGCATCTTGATTTTGTGTGTGAATGACAATAAATGATTCTGTTATGAGCTTTCCAGTAAATCTGGTAAGGTTCAGATGTCCCAGCTTTTTGCCAGCCTTGAACGCAGCATTACAAGTGTGAATCTGCAGAGGTAAGGAAATCTCAAAAGTCACATTCACACACAAGCTAATCTTGTTCCTCGCTTGAATGTTGTTGTTTCCATACGAATCAGTTTGAGACTAATTTATTTCAGTAGAAATAGGCTGAGTTTCAATTCAGGGGATGCAGCCCACATAGTGCACATTTGTAGGCTGGCTACATTGCTGCACCATGCTGAACACTGTCCTATTTTGTGGGCTCCTCAAAAATGTAGCTCTCAAAACCTTGTAAACGAAGGATGCATCTAAGCATCCTTCGCAACTGACAATGTCCCAGGATTCATTGTGCCGTCATCAGACTAAACAGGAATGTCATGATTCTTGTTTTATGGTTCTTTTTGTTAGTAATTTTCAGACTTTTTGTTTGGCATTGTCTTATTTTCTCATTTCCTGTTATTTTTCTGTTTCCTGTGCCATGTTGCCGTCAGTCAGCTTCTTAGTGTTATTCCAGCCTGCCACACTCACCTGTCCATAATCTGTATTCACCCAGGTGCTTCTGCTCCCCAATCATCCTCAGTTGTATTTATCCAGTGTCTTTTGTCTTCATTGCCCAGTTGGATCATTGCCCTTTTCATGCATCAAACCTTGTTCTCGTCAATGTTTTATTTTAGTATTTTGCTGCCTCACCAGCTTGTTCTTTAGTTGTTTAATAAATCAGTTTTTGTTTTTTCATTCATCATCAAGTCTGCTTGCACTTTGGGTTTAAAGTACCACCTATCCAGACAAGGAAAAAGAAAATGGCGCAGTTTGGAAAGTCATCACTGACTGAAGAATTCGTTGTTTGGAAACTTAGCTGATGACATTTATGCTTCATTGAGATGTTAAATAACGTGTTGTTAACATTAAGTACAGATATCAGAGGTAGGTTTTTAAAAAAAATACATTGAATTTTGTGAAGTTATACCTCCCATGACAAAAACATGTGAGCACATGTTCCAACACATTTTAAGTTTTAGGCATTTATAGATGAAGTGATATACTGTACAACGTGGGAAGTACATACTTACGCAAACATACATCCTCCAAATCCTCTCATTTAAAGGGATCCCCGATTAGTTGTAACATTAGACTTTATTTGATAAACATATACTTTAACTGTAAAATAAAGACTGTAAAATTACTGTAGGATGTTCAGTTTTTATCATTTTTAAACTAAAAGTTTAAAATATATTACACGGACGGGGCCATTTTATTTACACGCAA